GAGAGAGTGATGTGTGGAAATATGTAGGGTGTGAGTAGAGATTGGGAAGAAACAAGTGATACGAATAAAGATGGTGAGATAGAGTTGCTGACAGACATGTGGGAGATATAGCAGAGAGGTGAGGAAAGAGTTAAGAGAAGATGGAGATAGGGCATCTGGCATGTGGAAGGCACTTAGTGAAAGCATTGTTGAATAGATGGATGAACCTTGATGCAGAGGGAGGCCTGGAATGAATAATGAGAAGAAATCACACTATCCATTGAAGAAGTTACCTAGCAGTGAGAATTAAGAGTTGGGAAAAATACCTAAGATATTTCAGAGGTATAATGGACAAAACTGGGAGATTGTTTGGATGGGGGAATAGAGGCAGAAGGCAGAATAGGATAAATCCCAAGTTTTTAAAAAAAGTGACTGGGTAGATTGTTTCCATTCTTTGAGACAGGAAATATAGGAGGCTGACCTGGTTTGGGTGGACAGTGATGATTTTGAAAAGCTCATAGAACATTCTGGAAGAGATGTCTAGAGGACAGTTAGGTATACTGGACTCAGACCTCAAGAAAGAGGCCTGAGGTGAAAGTGTAGACTAAGATGGAGATATAGATTGGGGACCTGACAGAGAATAAACAGTAGTTAAGGCTGGGGCTGTGACAGGATTGCCTAAGTAAGCCCATGGGAGATGTTTAATGTTTGTTGAGTGAAAGTGAGAGAAACAACTAAAAGTCCTCCAACAGGAGAATTGTGTGAAAGCACATGTGTATGGTACAGAAGTCTGGAGGGACTCAGGCCTGATTGCTTTTCTGTCCCTGTGAAAGATGAGGTAGGAGTGCAAAGTGGAACAGCTGCCGCAGTGACAAGATCCAAGGTGTAGGTCATGTAGAGTCAAGGTGGTGGGTGGAGTGGACAAGGTGAAGCAATTATGAAATCATTGTATTGGAAAGGCATTTACAAAACATGTACAACAATGTTCATAGAAGATTTATTCATGACAGTAAAAAGGAAGGAAGGGAAGGGGGAGGAGGGAGGGAAGAAGGAAGGGAAGAAAAGAAAGAAAGAAACAACCCAATTGCACATCATCAGGTGAGTGGATAAACACGCTGGTATGTCCATATAAAAGAATACCACTCAGCAGTGAAAAGTAACCAGCTACTGATGCAAGCAACAACATAGATGGACCTCATAGACATTACACAAAATGAAGGAAGCCAGGTACATGAGTTCATATCATATGATTCCATCTATATGAAGTTCAAGAACAGGTTAAACTCACCTACAGGGGTATAAATCAGTGGTTGCTTCTGGGAGGGGGAAGGGATTGACCAAAAAGGTTCATGATAAAAAATTCATATGGAACCACCAAAGACCCCAAATAGCCATAGCAATCCTGAGAAGGAAGAATAAAGTGGGGGGGATCTCACTACCCAACTTCAAGCTCTATAACCCAAACATATGGTCAATTAATACATGATAAAGGAGCCATGGACATACAATGGGTACATGACAGCCTCTTCAACAGTTGGTGTTGGCAAAACTGAACAACTGCATGTAAGAGAATGAAACTGGATCACTGTCTAACCCCATACACAAAAGTAAATTTGAAATGGATCAAAGACCTGAATGTAAGTCATGAAGCCATAAAACTTAGAAAAAAAACATAGGCAAAAATCTCTTGGACATAAACATGAGTGACTTCTGCATGAACATATCTTCCCAGGCAAGGGAAACAAAAGCAAAAATGAACAAGTGGGACTATATCAGGCTGAAAAGCTTCTGTACAACAAAGGACACCATCAGTAGAACAAAAAGGCATCCTACAGTATGGGAGAATATATTCATAAGTGACAGATCTGATAAAGGGTTGACATCCAAAATATATAAAGAGCTCACACACCTCAAACAAAAAGCAAATAATCCAATAAAAAAATGGGCAGAGGAGCCGAACAGACAGTTCTCCAAAAGAGAAATTCAGATGGCTAACAGACACATGAAAAGATGCTTCACATCGCTAGTTATGAGAGAAATGCAAATTAAAACCACAATGAGTTATCACCTCACACCAGTAAGGATTGCCACCATCCAAAAGACAACAACAAATGTTGGCAAGCTTGTGGAGAAAGGGGAACCCTTCTATACTGCTGGTGGGAATGTAAATTAGTTCAACCATTGTGGAAAGCGGTATGGAGGTTCCTCAAAAAGCTAAAAATAGAAATCCATTTGACCCAGGAATTCCACTTCTAGGAATTTACCCTAGGAATACAGCAGCCCTACGTTTATGGCAGCACTATTTACAATAGCCAAGAAATGGAAGCAACCTAGGTGTCCATCAGTAGATGAATGGATAAAGAAGATGTGGTACATATACACAACAGAATATTATTCAACCATAAGAAGAAAACAAATCCTACCTTTTGCAACAACATGGATGGAGCTAGAGGGTATTATGCTAAGTGAAATGAGCCAGGCGGAGAAAGACAAGGACCAAATGATTTCACTCATATTTAGAGTATAAGAACAAAGAAAAAACTGAAGGAACAGAACAGCAGCAGAATCACAGAACCCAAGAAAGGACTAACAGTTACCAAAGGGAAAGGGACTGGGAAGGATGGGTGGGAAGGGAGGGATAAAGGAGGGGAAAGAAAGGGGGCATTACGATTAGCATGTATAATGTGGGGGGAGGCATGGGGAGGGCTGTGCAACACAGAGAAGACAAGTAGTGATTCTACAACATCTTACTATGCTGATGGACAGTGGCTGTAATGGAAGGGGGGAACCTAGCAAGCATAATGTTTCTTATGTAATTGTAGATTAATGACACCAAAAAAAAAAAGGTTCATGAGTAAAGTTTCTGGGGTAATGGAAAAATGATCTATAACTCAATTGCAGTGTCATTTACATGGGGACATATATTTGTAAGAGATCACAAACTGGGCAGAGTAGCTGAACAGACAGTTCTCCAAAAATGAAATTCAGATGGCCAACAGACACATGAAAGATGCTTAAGATCTGTGCATTTTACTGTGTGTAATTATATTTCCGTGTTTTAAAATGTCATTTGCATTGATATTAAGTTTTCCAGAGAGATGGCAGAGGTTGAAATGGAAAAGAATCTGGAAAGTCAGGTGCCAGCTCTTGGTGAATTCAAGGGAGGTTGGACAATGACAGCAAGAAGGAGAGACTGAAGGTGGTGGAGTTCGATACTAAGAGACTCAGAGGAGAAGGTGTAGTCAGATGTTGAAAGTATAACCTGGGACTGCCAATTAGTTGAAGAATATTTATAAGGACTTGGCCAGAGGAGAAGTCACCCACATCTTACCCTTGCCAACACTTAGAGGAGAAAACACCAGGTGAAATGGGTCACCTGTGCTGGGAATGCAGAGTCCCTTCTGTGTTTTCCCCTCTTTTAAGGTTCTGAGCTCTGAGTTGTAGTTTATTGGTCCTGACCACCCTCAAGCCATCCCACAACTGGGTGTTAAAGAAGTTAGACCCCAATGTATGTACATCCACTTCACACTTTTCTATTTGTTGCCTTTCCTCTCAAGTTCTTGGTAAAAGTAGTTTCTTTTGAAAAATTCCATCCTTGTGTCCACTGAGCTGATGAGCACAGCAGTTCCCATATACCCAGCTAAAGTTCCTGAGAGAGTCTCAGAGATATTGGAAGGGGTTCTTGGGTCCATATATATGCCAGTAGTTATTCTAGGTGGACTTAAAAAAAAAAAACACCTAAGTACTGTCTTTGGAATCCAGAACACTATTAGGTATTGGAAATCTTAGGTGGAGAGAGCCAGACACCCTTAAGTTCAGATAGAGCTATAAAATCAGTCATCTGAGCCAAGGACTTGAGGGGATTTAGGGGCTAACATACACTAAGTATCCAGTCCAGTGGGGTCTGAGAGTTGACAGATGCTGTTTCTAGTTTACAAATATATGAGTGGTGGAAATAAGGACTCCAGCTTAGGCTGAACTGACTTCTAAGCTGCATTGTCCTGGGACATGGAGTAGTGTCATGTGATTGTATACTGTGAAAGGATGGAGTTTTATCCTCAGACCAGTTGCCAATTCCAGCACCTTCAGCCTCACTTCACTGGTGGTAACCTCTCCTCTTTCCCCAAACTGTGGGCTTCTCTTCACACTGACTCTCTGGGGTACAGGTGGGCTGTTGATGGTACTAGGCAAGGTGGGACTGGGCAGAAGCTGAATAAAGACCCTGTTGAAAAAGCCATCCTGTGGTGTGCTCTGTGACCACCAGGGGGAAGACCTTGCCTTGCCATGGCACCTAAGTCCCACACCCTCTGGTTACTGGGCACCAAGGTGGCAGCCACTCCACTGATGGGCAACGGCTGAGTCATTCTTCCCTAGATTGTGTGGCTTGTGTACTTATCTAGGTGGAGTTAAGTAATTTGGTTAAGAAAATATGAGTGTGGTGGGGAGCAGGCATTTGAACCAAGCCTGACTCCAAGCTAGCTCTCTTAACCGCAAGGTAACTGTGTCACCAAAAAAAAAAAACTCCAGCTCCCTGGAGGGTGGGAACTGAGGTTGGAAACTGCACAATCTAGGGCTGCATATTGTGAAACAGAGGTAGAAACACGTATATAAAGAAAAAAAGTTGTGACCCAACAGTCTTTCTTTGATTTCTGTCTATAAAAATACATTTCATATCATGGGAATTTTGTAGTTCCTCAATAAATATTAGCTAAATAATGAACAAAGTAATAAACGAATGAGTTTATTCTTGTGAGTAATGTGGGTACTAAGTCCGGCAGAGTGCACTACGTAAAGCAAACCTCTACAAGAGATGTACTCCTTTAATGGAGATCTGAACAGGAGGGAGCCCAAACTTCTTTCCACTGCACTGCCTGCAGCTGAACCACCCAGGTCAGCTGTCTAAGTAACTGGGTGGTTGCCAGGCAAATGCATCTTCCAAATGCGTCTCTAGCAACCTCCTGCCACCACCACTGATCAGCCTGCTTCTCCTAATCCCCTGATGTATAGAATTCTAGAGCAGCCCTGGGGAGCGGAGGGCCAGACTCTAGGAAAGGGAATGGATGGAGTAGGCCTGGGTGCTGTTGAGCCCAGAGGAGGGGAAGTAGGTTAGCTCTGGGCCCAAAGGGTTCCTGGCAGCTTATTCTGGGTAAAGAGTTGGTCTTGAACCTCAGAAGGCAGGGGAACCACATCCTGGTCTCACCCTCCTGCCTACCCACTCTATCATCAGGAGCCATTTAAGCTCCACCCTCCCCCTCAAACACTTAGGCAAGCTGCCCACATGCTGCCCCCACCACCTAGTGACCCAGATATCGCCATCAGCGACATCCTCCCTCTTCATGGCCCCACACACCTGAGGTCCTTGGCAAGTGATATCTGAGCCCTGTGTTCATAGGAAGTCCTCCCTGCCATCTGGTGACCAAGGCCTGCTTACAAGTAGCGGGTCACTCCTCTTCCCAGACCTTACTGCTCAGGTCCCCCTCGCCAACTGGAACACCCTCTGACATGGCCTGGATACTGCTGCTCATCTTTATCTTGGTCCATCCAGGTAAGAGGGCTTCTCCCAGATACCTGAGGGATATGGGGCTGGGAGAAGGGAGCAGGGAGGGGGCTGAACCTAGTGTCCCAGGGGAGCAGTTTTTGTGTGGTGAGGGGGGAGTGGGGCCTGAACATTGAGCCCTGAGGGGAGTGGCAAGGAAAGGAGAGTGGGAGTAGGTGCGGCCCCCTGTACAGTAATTTTACTGGGTCATAGTCCCTCCACGTCTCCCTGTCATCCACTGGGAGGGTCACTCCCAATCTTCCATCCCAGAGCTCTTTTCTTCTCAGCCACCTTCCAAATAAAGTATAAAGAGCCAGTAAAAAGGGCTTGAAGGAAGGGGTCAATTTTTTTTAAGGGGTCAGTTTTAATTTGATGAATTTAATAAGTCTATTAAACAAGGTTTATTATCTGTGGTCTAGATATAATTAAGAGTTTGGGAGACCTAATTAAATCTAAGGTAAGGTTCTTAGTAAAACTGATTTTTAATTAACTGAGAGACCTTAACTATCAGATATATCCATTAACTAAATTCAGTGCAGACTCCAGACCCACAGCTTCAGGATCAGCTGGGAACCTGGGTCAAATTCTCAGGCTCTACTCCAGACCCACTGAATAGAAAACTCTGGAAGTGGGGCCCAAGAATCTGTTTTAACAAACACTCCAGGTGATTCTGCTGTGCTCTCAAGCTTAAGAACCACAAAATTAGAAAAATGGTAAATTTCACCAACTACAGAATTTAATCGGGGTTTTAAAAATGGGTTTAATTCATCAGTTTGGATGAGTTAAATAAGGATCTCAAGCAATTACAGAATGTAATTCTAGAAATGTGGGAGGTAGGGGTGCTAATATGGGAGCTAGGAGTGCTAATGCTCTGCACAGTCAAAAATCTGGGTATAACTTTGACTCCCCCCAAATTTAAATACTAATAGCCTATTGTTAACAGGAAGCCTTCGGGTAACATAAATGGTTGAGTAACACATATTTTGTATGTTGTATGTATTATATCCTGTATTCTTACAATAAAGTAAGATAAGAAAATGTTTTTTCAAAATATCAAATATTTCCAGGTAATTTTCCAGTATATTTATTGGAAAAATCTGCATATAAGCAGACCTGTGTAGCTCAAACCCATTGTCGCTCAAGGGTCAACTGTATCAGCCACATCTTAGCCTGAAGATTTAGTTAATGCTCTTTAACAAAAAACAAAGCAGCAAAGATATAATATAAAATGTATTAGCACTAAAATACTACTGGGAATCATATAGTTAATGATATTAGTTTGCTAGGCAGCCACATTCATTAATGAGCTGCAGTTACACTGTGACAGTTACGTTCCAGGGAGATGTTACTAGTGAATGCAGCTGAAGAATGGTGGTAAGGGAGAAGATGAGAGTTGGTATAGGAAAGAGTTTGAAAAACTGTTTAATAAGTAATGTTAAGAAATTAGGTTGGTAAAGAGGAAAGGATTTAATGAGGCACCCAAAGTACTTGCCCCTGTGGCCCTCTGTAGGTGGAGGGACAGCTGGAATAGTCTACTGCAAGCTTTCTCCTTGGAGTAATTGAGGAGGCATTTTCTACAGGTCTTCTCTCTGTCCCCCAGGATCCTGTGCTCTCTGGGTGTCCCAGCCTGCTGAGATTCATACCCAGGAAGGCACTGCTGCCTTCTTGCCCTGCTCCTTCAATGCCAGCCGAGGGAGACTGGCCATTGGCTCTGTCGCATGGTACCGGGACAAGGTGGCCCCAGGAAAGGAAGTGAAGAATGGGACACCCGAGTTCAGGGGCCGCCTGGCCCCTCTTGCCTCTTTCCGATTCCTCTGTGACCACCAGGCTGAGCTGCACATCTGGAATACCCAAGAGTGTGATGCCGGGGTCTATGTGTGCAAGGTGGAGGTGCTGGGCCTGGGTGTAGGAACAGGGAACGGAACTCTACTGGTGGTGGAGAAAGGTGAGGCACAGAGAGACTGTTCTCTTCGGCTAGAGGTCCGTCTCACCCTGGAAGCTGGGAGTACCTTACTTAAGGTCCCCTGCCCTCTGTCCCTCCCTGAGCTTGTGCATGCTTCCTCCCCAGGGCCCTCCTTATCAAACCCTTTTTCTCCACTGCCTACATACAGGACCTTCTCAGCTAGGGGACAGTACAGTCCTCCTCCTCCGGGCTGGATTCTATGCCTTCAGCTTTCTCTCTGTGGCCGTAAGCAGCACCATCTATTACCAAGGCAAATGTGAGCTATGGAGCCAGGGCAATGGCGGAAGAGAGCTGGAGGAGGGGGAGACAGAGATCAAGAGGACAAGGAGGGCTACAGCACAGTGACTCCTGCCATCTCTCCACCAGGCCACTGTCACCTGGAAACACATTGCCTCTCCTTGAATGGCCTCTGATGAGTGTGATTCCAGACCTCAGTGATCACAGCTCTCTTTAAGAGACTCTAATAAAGCCCTCTCTGCCCAACCACTAACTCCTTCTTATGAATCTCATGTATTTCTTCTTCCATTCTCCAGATGCCCCAATATGCCTCTCTTGGGGTCCCCTTACTCTTAACTCTCCCTTCTACAAAGTCTGGGCTAGAATGGTCTGAGGAGGGAGCTTCTCAGTCATCAAGCCTAGAGCCCCCTCCCACCACCATCCTGGGGCTCAACACACCCTCCTCGCCTGAGCCCAGGAGGCTGAGTCTCATTTTCCTGAGAAACAGGGAGTATCAGATCTGATTAGTCCTGCTTGTCAACCTTCCCATGCCAGCCAGGCTCATAGATAAATGCTCTTTTCTGGTTTTCAGGGAAGCTCAGGTCCCTGAACACCTTTTTTCACCCAACATATCATGACTTGACCCCAGAGTGGATGGGAGGATAAGTCGCTTAAGTTTTGATGGTGGCCACGTTGACCGGGACTTGAGCTGGACTGAGGAGCCTGAGACACAGACAGTGGTGAGATTGTTGTCTTTACTGGGTGAACCACAGATGGCCCTGACCTCCCGCCTGGAAGAGAGAGGCCACTGGGGGTGCTCAGGTGGGTTTGTTCTTGGCAATGCAGGCGTAGTCGGTGCTGGGGTCCTCCTTGGTGACTTTCCTGTTGTTGAGGGTAGGCTCCTGCCGGCAGGGCTCTGGCAGCCTCAGCAGAGATGCATAGTGGAGCTCCTGCTCGGAGAGCTGGGCCTGGGGCCCGGGCACAAGGTGCTGGGGAGGAGCCCTCTCTTGGCCTTTTCCTGTGAGGCCCAGCACCCTCTCTCCCTCATTGCCTCCTCTGGCTCCCACTCTGCTCCCACACTGCTCGGCAGCCTCTCTGTGGTCTAAACTCCTCTTCTTTTATTCCACTACCCCTTCTCTGTGTTTCCCACCTCTCAAGTTCACCCCTCCCATTTTTATTCTCCTTTTCTCTTGGTGGTTTCTCTGTGCCTCTTTCATTTTCTGCTTTTCTCTTGCACCATTCATCTCCGTGTCTCTCTCATTCTTTCCTCTCTTCCTTTGGTCTCATTCCCTCTCCTCTCTCTACACCATTTCTTTCCTCTCCCCTTCTCATTTGCTTTCTTCTGCTTCTTTTTTTCTCTGACTTCATGCTCCTGCCTTCTCTTCCCTTGTCCCTTTCTCAGCCCTCAGTCCCATCTTGTGCCCACTGACCCCTTTCCTGCCCTCAGACTCACCCAGGTCCTCTCCAGCCTCCTCACTGGAAAAAAAAGCAGCAGCTTAGCAGCCCTCCCATTGCGTCTTCCAGCTCCTCCTCCCTCACCCCCCACCCCCAGGGAGTGTTTCCTCACCGGCTGACTTCCCTGTGGTTCCCGTGGCCCAAGTCCTGGCCTCTCTGGACACTTTCCCCTTCCCTTTCCCACCGACTTCTACCACCTTCCTCACCCAGAGCATGTGTGGATGGCTGGGGACTTCTGGGAAAGTAGGAAAGGGTGTGGGTAGGGCCACATGGGGCAAGGCTGTGGGGTGAGCGAGGGAGGGGAAGGTAGGACTCACCTCTCCGCTGGGTCCGACACAGGTAGGCGAACAGAATAACCACAGCCAGGAGCAGGAGCCCCCCCAGTACCAAGCCGCCATATAGATAAGGGCATATACCTGCAGGGAAAGGGGTAAATCTCAGAGGGCCCGCTTCTCTCTTCAGCTTACCCATCTCCTGGTTGGCCATGGGTGTCTCACCCCCTCTCCCCAACTCTTTGAGAGGCAGAAAAACCTACTGAGATTCTTCATCCCAGATTGAGGCATCCTTCTCTTACCAGAGGTATCCAGCCCTTATCGGCGACCTTACCCATCCCCAAGGCAGCACACCCCTCAGAGGCTTCCCACTGCCATCCTGCTGTCCTGGGGCCTCCTGGTGAAGTCACTTGCCTGCCCACATCAGCTGGTCCCAAGAGGCTCTGGCTACCTACTCATGAACAGCACGCACCACTTTTGACCCATTATTCTTTCTGCACCCACAACCATCTCTGAGCAGAGGGTTACCTTACCATTATCCTGTGTCTCACAAACTGCCATTAGGTCAGGCACTGAAGACTGGCCTGGAGGTCAGGAAACTTAGCCCTTGCTCTGCTGGGCTAAATGGCCTGGGGTGAGTCACGTGCCTCAAGTTCCTCATCTGTGAAGTGCAGGGCCCTCTGTTACAATCATCCCATTTCCCCCACCCTGGGCTGAGGAGCTTCACTTATGTGCCAACCCAGAACCGGGTACTTTCCCTTCATCACTGCTAGTCTCTACAATGTAGGGTATTTATGGTGCCCATTTTCCTGGTGAGGAACCTGAAACTCAAGCCTGGACCATATAAGGACATCCAGCCCAGAAGAGCAGTGCTGAGGTTCAAGGCCAACTCTGCCCAGCTGCAGAGCCCACCCCCCTTTCCTCTGCCTGAGGCTGACCAGGTGGTTCAGAGGGGCATCTCTAGCACTGGATAGTTCTATGTTCTGGTGAGGGGGCTGATGGAGGAGCAGGAGCCAGGATCTGGAATGTGTGGGGGGACTGGTGGAAAAATAGGAGTGGTGTCCAGTGCTGCCTGGGAGTTGGGGCTGCTCCCCTTAGGGCGACACAGGAGAGCGGGCCTTAATTGACTGGTGTGGAAAGCCTCTTCCCACGGGCAGATACAGCTGGGGCCAAAGTGGGACAAAGAGGAGTGTTGGGGGCCCCATAACTTCCCCTGTACTTCTCCATAACTTCCTGCCCTACAACCACTGGTTCCTGTTTGAGGGCAAAGAGGAGGCTGCTGACTTAACCTCAGAGCCAGAGACCAGGGGCTGGAGGCTGAGATCCTGTGTTCAAGAGGAATGCTGGGGTGTGTGTGGAGGGGATGGGGAGCAGAAGCACAGGTGGAGAGGAGGGCCATCAGGGGCAGTGGGGGTAGAGGTGGATTGTTTTTAATTTCTCTGGAGAACAGAGACAGAGGCAGAGCTGAGGACTGCCCCAGAGTCCTGGGAACCTCAAAGCTGTATTCTCCCTTCCCTCATCTTTGCCTCACCTCACTCTGGGTGTGACTTCCACCCCCATCCACATCCCCTGCCCCGGTTTTCCTGACCAGGGGCCCTGCTTTCTCCCAACTTATCCAGAGCCTGTGGCCTGCGGGTAGACAGACTCCAGACAGGCATGAGCTGCCTGGGTGAAGAGAAGTGTTGCCATTTCAGATGTTCCTGCCTCTGCTCTGCCTTCACTTTCTCTCCCAGCCTGGCTCCCCAGCATCACTAGGAGAGGAAGTTACGCTTTGAGGGTTAGGGTTACAACATCTTTCCTTTCAGACTCCTGGGACTGTAAGTGAGCCTGTAATGCCCCTCAGTTCCAGCCATCCTATTGATCGTGAGTAATCAATGAATGTTTACCTCCTGGCACCTTCCCTGATCAATTTTTCCCCAATTACCCATCACACTACCTTGCTGAGAGCTCACAATTTTGGTGTATGTGTATGGATGTATTGGAAGGCCCCCACATCAGACTGGGAGCTGCGGTGTTTTGATGGTAGCTTGCCCAGTGTTCTGGGGCTGAATCTAGCAGGATGCTTGGATGACTGATTAACAGGACAGTCAGAGGCAGCCAGGCTAGGTCTACATGAACCTTGCTGTTAGATCTAGGACAGCAAGTTGATGAAAACGTGGTGCTGGGAAGAGAGGTGTGGGCAATCCAGGTGGATTCTTACAGGAGGTAGCATTCTGATGTCAAACACAAAAGTTAATAAGGGCAGTGATCCAAAGCCCTCTGGACGGAAAGCTGGACAAAGGTCTTTTAATGGCACCGTCATGGAGAGGGAGATGGGTTATAGAGAATCGCACACCCAGTCCTTGAGGAGGGAGAAAACTAGGGAGCTCCTGTGGAAGCAAGGGGTGGGTGTGGAGATCTGGTGCTGGGTCCACATGCATTTGCATTTCCTTCTCCAAATTTAGAAACTTACTGCTACTTCCTCCCCTCTTCCAACCCACAATGTTCCCTATGCAGCATACTCAGTAGAATAACAGTCAGGTTTTTTTTTCACATTTTATTATTAAAATGTTCAAACAGAAAAAAGTTGAAAGAATTATATGGTAAACAAATATCCCTACCATAGATTCTACAATTAACATTTTCCTATATTTTCCTTATCACATATCAGTCCACCTTGTTTTTCTACACCTTTTAAAGTTGCAGATATTAGCACACTTTATCTCTAAACCCTTTACCATGCTTATCATTGACTTGAGTTCAGCATTCATTTCTTTTTGTGGGGTGCTGAAGAAGGCAAGATTTGCATACATTGAAATGCACATGGTGGACCATGCATGAGTGTCCGCTCTCCACCCGAGTCCATATGCCAAATCCAGGACTCAGTTTTTAAACTGTCTTGTGGTCAAAGCTCTGGAGTCAGACTGCCTGGATTCAAATATTGACTCTGCCACTACTGTGTGACTTTCTAAAGTTCCTTAAGTTCCCTGTGCCTCAATTCCTTGTAGGGTTTTGTCAGGATTGAAGTAATTATTACATACACAGTGTGTAGCTCAGTGGCAGGCTGCTGCTTATAAATTAGCTAAATTATTATTATCGCTGAACAGAGATGCCAAAAAAAGGGAGATGATCTGGGACCACCTACAACTTCTTTGGACCTGGTCTTTCCTGCTTTCAGCGGCTGCCGCACTGTTTACCACGGCATTCGTTGGATCCTTGTTGCTTTGCTTTGCTTACTCACTCATTCATTTGTCTTTCCTTCACTTATTCATTAACACTTAGGGAGCACCTACTAAATGGATGGGGCTCATTCTAGACTTAGAAGCTCTTTGAGGGTGGAGGCGGAACTCATCTGCCTACACTCTGTGTAGCAAGGCAGGGAATGCTCATTTCCATCCCTCCTCAGCGAGTCAGTAGTCAGCAGTGAGACTGAGGCCCCCTTCAGCTGTCATGGCTGTGGACTGACTTAACTCTCCTTTCTCACCTAGCTCTGGGGGTTAGGGGTGTGCAAGGCGACAGGAGGAGGTCAGTTCAGTGTCGGGGCACATTCCCCAGGGCCCCAGTTCTTGTCCTCATATGCCAGACCTTGACCCCAGGGACATGGAAGCAGCCCTCCCTCCAGCACCCACCTCTGGGATGTAGAGAAGGCTGATTGCCCTGGAATCTGGAGTTCTGTGTGTCATTGCTGCTCTGCTGCCTGACCTTCTGCAAGCTACCTTCCCTCCCTGGGTCTCAGTTGCCCTCCCTGATGAGCCAGATGTTTAAGGCCCTCTCCAGGTCTACCCTGAAAGCCTATCTTCTCACCCCAACTCCTTCCCCAGTTCAGAGAACCCAGGCATACAGCTGCCCCACCCTAGCTCTGGGTAAACAGGAAGCTGGGTGAGGGGAGCCAGGGTGTGCGGAAAGTCCCAGCCAGGTGTGTGGGTCTATGGGGAGGGGGTAGCCCCACCCCTGAGGTATGAAAGCCCCCCTGCCTTGGCCTTGGCTCAGTCTCAATGGGGGCACTGGGACTGGAGGGCCGGGGTAGGAGGCCCCAGGGTAAGGGCTGCCTCCTGCTGGCTGTGGCAGGAGCCACCTCCCTGGTGACCCTGCTGCTGGCTGTGCCTATCACTGTCCTGGCTGTGCTGGTCTTGGTGCCCCAGGAGCAGGGAAGACTGGTGAGTGCCTGCAAAGGGCCTGGGAGGGCTGCACATTACCAGATGCTCACTTACCTCTGGTTAGGCCTGGGGGTCTTTTGCCTCATCCTGCCCAGCTGGCTTGGCTGTCCCTGGTGGGGATATCTTGTCAGTCTCTTCTCTGGCTCTTTTCAAGGTCCTGTGATGCTGTTGGGTCCTGATGTCTCCAATCCCATTCCTGGTGGCCTCTATTACCCCTCCTCTTCCCAAGAGGCCTCTCTCACCCTACAGAGGCCTGTCTATTCAGGCAGGCCTCTACCTCTCCACCTGAGTCCATATGCCTTCCTAGCTTTCCCTTCCAGGGAGATCTGTGCTGGCCATGGGGCTGGTTGGAGAAACCTCAAGCCTGGAGTTTAAGTTTATGTTAGGAGGGGTGGCTTTGCAGCAGCTAAGACTGAACTCTGCACACTGTGATCCCACTCACCCAGGCAGCGGGGACTGCTGATCCAGGAGTGCAGGCCCAGGCCCAGCAGCGATCAGGTAAGTGCAGACCATCTCCCTCTCCCCCACTCCACTCCCTCAGAGATGCCCAGCTCCTACCCATCTGCATCCCCAGATACTCTCTTCCTCCACGAATCCAGGTGCCCCATCCTTGGATGGGGGACCATGCATGAGTGTCCGCTCTGCTGCCAATCCTGGACTCTTCTGCCCTAACAGGGTCCCAGGAGCTGCCAGAGAACGAGGCAGAAACCGATCTCAGCCCCAGGCTGCCGGCTGCCCACATCATAAGTAAGGATCTCACTAACATGAAGAGTCCACGGATGCTAGTTCTGCTAGCACACAATTAGGGTCCCTTTGCTCTGTTATTGCAATGCTTACTTTTCCACCTGTTCACCACCGCTCGCGCCGCCTTCCCAGCTTCTTGCTTCCCTCCAGGAGCAGGCAAAACCCGGCCTGGATCTCCCTAGCACAGCGCTCCGCACCGCACACCCAGGTGCCCTCAGTCTCCAGCTTACTCACGGCAGAGGTAGCACCATCGCCCCGCTCCCCTTCCCTGCTCGGTTCTTGCAGCGGGTTAAAAGCCCCCCACTCTCCCTCATGCCCACCTCCCCGAAGTCTTGGGCCTGACTCCCTCGGGATCAAATTCCCAAGAGCAGACAGGCCCCTTTCTCCGCAGGTGCTTGGACCAACCGTCAAGGGATAGGCTGGGAGGCGAAGAAAGAAGAGGCGTTTCTGAGGGGCGGGACGCAGTTCTTGGGCGCCGAGGGGCTGGCCCTCCCCCTGGACGGCCTCTATTACCTCTACTGTCACATCGGCTACCGGGGCCGGGCGCCCTCTGCCGGCGGGGGCCCTCCGGACCACTCGGTCACGCTGCGCAGCCGGCTGTACCGGGCCGGGGGCGCGTACGGGCCCGGGACTCCTGAGCTGCTGCTCGAGGGCGCCGAGACCGTGACTCCGGTGTTGGACCCGGCGGGGAGGCACGAGTACGGGCCCCTCTGGTACACGAGCGTGGGGTTTGGCGGCCTGGTGCAGCTCCGGAGGGACGAGAGGGTGTACGTCAATATCAGTCACCCCGATATGGTGGATTATAGGAGAGGGAAGACCTTCTTTGGGGCTGTGATGGTGGGGTGAGGGCCGCCGCGTTCCCGGGAAAACGACTGCATGGTGGGGATGTGTGAATCATTCCAGATGTTGGGGACCCATACACCAGGGCCCCGCAGCTGTGAGGAAAATGTTAAGAGTTTGTTTGGAAACTGATTTTGAGCCTGATAAAAATAAAGAATGTAAAAATTAGGGCTGCCAAATACAGATATTGAGAGGTGAATATGTCTTAATTTAGGTACACAAGTGTTGGTGAAATTGTCTGTGTTTTTCTGGTCGCTTGAAACAATTCATACCTCTTTGTATGGCCTCTCCTCCCTGGGATGGCTGTCTGCACGTCTCACCCACGCCCTGCCTCTGAACTGCTCTGCCCAGCATGGGGGAAATTGGAGGGTAGAAAGCAGGGATCTCCTCAAACCCATCTCCTGACCCGCAAAGCCACATGGGCCCCATCTAACTGGACCTGCACTTTTCCAGTTAGTGTGAGAGGGGTTATTACAGGGGAGGGGAGGGCCTAGCTCCCGAGAAAAACTGGATATAGCAGAGCCTGGAAGACCCCTTTAGCCACTACCCCCAGTCAACTTTTCTCTTCTGAAGAAAGAGCCTCAGCTCACTGGGCAGGAGGAGAGGAGGCTGAGAGACTTGGAAAGGTGTTTGAGAGAGAGAAGGATGGGGTGGGGCTAGTGCCCGAGGGCATCAGAAAAAACCTGGGAATGAGGGAGGAAAATCTGATGCCACCTGGCCTTGTCCAGGGTGGGATGGAAAGTCCTCACCACTTGTTCACACTTCAGGTCCCCTCCCCATTGGTGGGCAAGTGTGGGGCCCTGGGGTAACAGTAGCCCCCTCATCCCACTATGGACTTTCAGACCTAGAGGGGAACCCAAGGCCCTATCTAGGTCATCCAGTGGGTCATCCCATGCTTCTGCACACCACACTTCTCCTGCCTGGCAAACCTGGCAGGAAGGAAAGCCTACCTTTTGAGCTCAGCAGGGGCTCCCACTCTCCAGGTCTTCATTTCTGATTCCCTATTTGTCCTTGACTCTGTATCCAGAGAGCTTTCATCAGAGGAAAGGGTGCTTTTCTCTTTCCATTTCATCTACCTCCTATCCCTCCCCTCATCATTAACTCAGAAAATCAGTGACAGCTGGCATGTGGGCTCTTCGCTCATATCTCATACCTGTTTTAAAATGTTCTTCTATCTCTTCAATTCTATTCTCTGAGAGGTGGAAAGGCTGGGGGCTGGGTAAAGGGAAAAAGCCTGAATTTACTGAGGGCTTACAGTGCCAAGCACTAGGCTAGGTGCCCTGAGGTAGTTGGGATTTTCTATCCGTGCTGTATGTGGTGGGTGTTCCTATCTTCATTTGATAGGTGAGATTCAGAAAATTTGCACTGTTTGAATTTGCATGGTTAGGACAGGGCTGGCGGGGGTGGGGTGGCGTGGGGGTGGGCCTAGGATCAGGCGATCTGGAGCCCAGACGCCTTAATGTCTGGAAGTCCCTTGGCTGTGATTCAGGTGCCTGAGAATGTGGCCCTTCCCAGGCTCTGTCTCAGGCTGCAGCAGCCAGCCGGAAATCTCACCTGAGCACCTGAGCTGCAGGACTTCCCCCGCTAGGGTTGGAATTCCCAGGGTCGGAAATTCCAATACCCTGAGGGAGAGGTAATTAAGTTCCGGTGCCAATTTCTTGGGGGAGGGGCACATTCGGCTGGGCTTTGTTTTATGCAGGGTCTCTAGAGCGCCTGTAGTCCAAGGAGTGGGGACTCGGTCTTAGGGATCTTAGGCCCTATATAGAGAGGACTTCAGGGGGTGGCCTCTCACCCCCGCAGAGAGGCAGATGCAGAATTAATTCCAACAAAGAGACCATGTTTCCTTTCTAAGCACATTTTATTTTATTTCACGCCACTGACCAGTAGGGCGGTTACAGACACAACTCCCCTGGGGAGCAGAGGTTCAGCGATGTAGTGACAGTCAATCACCAAATCAGCATTATTTAGACAACTTGATCAGATAAATACTTTTAAAAACTTAAGCAAAAGGAGGCACAGAGGCCCGTGGGCCAGATGGAAACAGCCTACAGTTCAGCTCCGTTTTCACAGAAAACATGTCTGAGCCAAGGCAGCACCTACGCTGGGTTTCCCAGGACGCCCTGACCTCCTTAATAAATACATTCATCAGTAAATAAATAAATAATAAATAAATAATAAATAATCACAAGTGCAAACATAAATAGAGGGAGCTGGCCCTGAAGGGGAGGGGCTGGGTTCTCCATCTCAGTGAAGAGTCTGGACATTTGAAGAAGGGAGGCCTGAGGTCTACTCACATCATCTTCTCAAGGGATGCTCTGAAGTGTTCCAGCCAGAATCAAAGGTTCCCTGGCCCCCACATTCCAGGTATCCCAGGTTGCATTCAGACATCCAAACCTGGGACCCTCGGTAAGTTCTGGAAGCCCCATTTTGAGTTCTGGGTGGTGGCCAGTGTCCCAATGTCCAGGTCACCCATCCCTCCATTCTAGGTTTCTAAGTGTTGTTTAAAGTTCTAAGCTTGGGGCCTGGCCCTGAGCCGCGAATTATTTTTCTAAGCCAGAAGGGAATGAAGGGGTCTGAAGGAGTGGATAACAAAAGGATTGAGATGGGAGAGGATGGGAGTTCCACCCACTCACAGGGCAATGATCCCAAAGTAGACCTGTCCAGACTCGGCAAAGTCAAGATAGTCAGGCAGATTGATCTCAGCGCTGAGTCGATCATCCTTCTCCAGCTGGAAGACCCCTCCCAGATAGATAGGCTCATACCAGGGCTTGCCCTCAGTCCCCTCTGGGGTCTCCAACTGGCAAGGGCTCTTGATGGCAGAGAGGAGGTTGACCTTGGTCTGGTAGGAGAGGGCCAAGCGGCTAATGGTGTGGGTGAGGAGCACATGGGTGGAAGGGCAGCCTTGGCCCTTGAAGAGGACCTGGGAGTAGACGAGGTACAGTCCATCGGACGGCACCACCAGCTGGTTGTCTGTTAGCTTCACGCCATTAGCCAGGAGGGCATTGGCGCGCCGGCTAAGCCACTGGAGCTGCCCCTCAGCTTGGGGGTTTGCTGAAGGAAGGGAGAGAAGGAGGGAGGGATGAGTCAGTGTGACCCTGTCAGTTCTACTCTCCACATCCTGGCCCTCAAGTTCTGCCCACCCCTTACATCCGGTTCCTGTCTTCTCTGCTTCTTCCCACATTCCATCTGGCTTTGAGGCTCTGCGTATCCTTCTCAAGACCTGTTCTGTTCCTCCACCCTCCCCTTGAGCTCAGTGAACCTTTCAGTGTCTCCCAGGTCTGTCTACCCTTGGCCTGGGTTCAGCCCCCAAATCCTGTCCCTCCGTGTTTCATCTGCTTCTTCCGCTAGACACATCCTCAGAACTCTTACCTACAACATGGGCCACTGGCTTGTTGCTTGGTGTTTGAGAAGATGATCCTGAGGAGGAAAAGGGAAAAAAAAGTGAGATCCTTAAGCTTCCCAGAAAATATCCAGCTATTTTGACCTCAATTCCACTTCCCCCAAACCAAAACTCTAAATTTCTCCCACTGCTTTCATCCCAGGACTAACCCTAACCCCCACCTGAATCAAGAATTAGGAGGCTTTGGAAACACTTACTGAGAGTCTGAGCCAGAGGATTGAATATCTGGGGGCCATTCAATAACTGTTGGGGAGAAGAAGGAAGATTAGCATCACAGCAAGTCACCCCCAAAGCAGAAAGAACTGGTCTGCTAATCTAGCTTGTATACTCTGCCCTGTGTGTCTAGTTTTCTCTCTTCATTTATCCACTTATTCATTCATTTATCTACTCAATAACACTTTCACTGAGTACCTTTCACATGCTAAACACCCTATCTCCGTCTCTCCCTTTCTGCTTCTCCTCCCTCATCATCTCTTTCATATCACCCACATCATTCTGTCTCACCATCTTTATTTATATCACTATTTGTATCTTTATTTATATCACTTGTTTTTTCCCTATCTCTCTCCCACAACCTACATTTCTCTACACATCTCTTTATATATCTGTATCAACTTCCTCATTCATTCATTCATTCATTCAACAAACGTTCAACAAGCACCTTCCGTGTGCCAGGCACCTTATCTCCCTACCCTTTTCTCTCTTCCCCCACCTCTCTCCATATCTTTCTGCCTCCCCTCCCCATCTTTCCCCACGTTTTCCCTCCTAACTCTCTCAATGGCACACCTCTTTCCCTCACCCCATTTCTTGCTCTCCGCCCTCACACCTGCCCCATTTCTCTCTGTGGGGGGAGAATGAGCCACAGCTGGCAGGGCACTTACCTCTTCTCTCTGGGGGCCAATCACCCCAAAGTGCAGCAGGCAGAAGAGTGTGGTGGCTCCTGCGACAAGGAGGAAGGAGAAGAGGCTGAGGCACAAGCACCTTCTGGAGCCCTGGGAGCCCCCTGCCTTCTTGGGGAGTGCCTCCTCGGCCAGTTCCACATCCCGGATCATGCTTTCAGTGCTCATGGTGTCCTTTACAGAGGAGCTCAAGTTCAGTCGGAAGATGGTGAGGCCTGGGGCAGTGTGTGTTAGAGGGAGAGAATCTGCTGGCTGCTTGCTGGGTGGGTGTCGTCTGAGAGGTTATTTCCAGGGGCGTCTGGAGTTGCTTCTCTCTTTTCTGGCTGGTCCTCTGATGGCCTCGCTGAGGGAGCTTCTGCGGGCTGGGTGTGCAAACAGCTATATTTATAGGCCTATGGGGCAAGAGGGCGGGGAAAGGCTTTCACTCAACCAGCGGAAAACTTCCTTGGTGGAGAAACCCATGAGCTCATCTGGAGGAAGCGGGTAGTGGGTCCAGCACCTTCTGTCTCAGTTTCTTCTCCATCGCGGGGGCGGGGGTTTGGAAAGTTGGGGACACCCAGGCATCAAGGATACTTCCCACCCTCCCCATCTGGATTCTGAAGAGGGCTTGCAGGGCCAGCTACTGCTGTGTGTATAGGATCCTGGAGGCTGGTTCCCCTCAGTTCCCCTCTGTCCCCTAGTTCCCACTGTCTCCATTGCTTTTGGAGATCTCCAGGCCTATGACCTGTTTCCCTGTGATTTGTTGACAGGACTTATGTAGGGGTAGAGCTCTAAATGGGAGGGGCTTCATAAAACTGAGTCCTTGAGGGAGAGAAAACTTGGGGGAAGATGTATTTTCCCCCAGGGGTCCTTGGGAGAAAAGGATCTAGGGCAAGGGTCACTGGAGGCTGGGTGCGGATGGGGCCTCTGGAAGGGATAGTAGGGATAGTAGGGACAAGCCTGGGACAGCCCCAGAGGGAGTGAAAGCAGCCCTGGGAATTCACAAACCCTACCAGGGCAGGCCTTCTCCTTTCATTCTGACCAGGACTCAGCAGTGCTGGTTTCAGTCTTGGCGTCCAAGAAAATCTGAGGCCCTGATTTTTGCATGAAGCTCCCACCCCTCAGTTCCCCTATGTGTGGCCAGGTACCCCAAAGAACTCCTACTCCCTCCAGATTCCTGGAGACAGCCCTAGCCCTCAGAACCCCTGGGCATGACCATGTCTCCTCAGGTGTCCCCTCTCTTCCCCAGTCCCCCACCTTGGAGGTTCTCCCACCCCTCAGGACCCTTGTATACCCATGTCTTCCAGGGGACCCCATGCTTCACTCCCAGAGTCCTGAACACCCTTTGGTGTGGTCACTTCTCCCCAGAGGCATCTTGCAACCCCCAATCTTCAGAGTCTCTACATGTGGCCATAACTGCTAGGGGCCCCCTGACCTCCACCCCTCCAGACCTTGGATCCCATTTTTTCCAGCTTATCCTTTGGTTTTTTGGCCCCGTGAAGTGGCCATATTTCCCCAGAGCTTGTTAGACCCCTTTATCTCCTTGTGTGCTCACAGCTCCTGTCCCCTCTGAGGTCTCTGTCCTCCCTTTCCTTAGAGAGACCTGGGATAGTCTCTTCTCCCAGACAGATAGACAGGCAGGCAGCACTTCAGAGAAAAGAGGTTTATTGGGCTTCATGGAGGGTGCAGATGTCTCCCTGTGGGGTATCTAGTCAAGCTGTGGTTGGCTCTTAGGAGCCTCTCACTTCCTCCTGGAGCCCGTTGGTACCTCAGACCCGCTTTCCCTCTCCATAGCTATTATCCTAGTGCCCATGCCCTCTTGCTCTTTGTCTCTTAGGCATTTTTATCTCTCTTCTGATGTCCGTCTATTATTCCCTTCCCTCCATCCTTCATAAATAAATAATTTAATTTTTCCCTTCATAAATAACCCCCCTCCCTGCCTCCAACCCCACTCCTTCATGTGTCTGCTCTCTTTCCACGTCCAGGGCTAGACCTCCCTAGACTGGCAGGACAGATGAAGAGCTCTGGGCAGGAATTTCTAGGCAGGCTTGAAATCTTTGGTAAGCATCCAGGGTGGTTCAAGGAGGTGTGGTCCCCTGGGATGCCTGGGATTCCTTCTTTGGAAGCTTCAGGTGATGAGAGTGGGGAATAGCTAAGAACATTGGAGTGGTGGAAGGAGAGGTGTGGGTGGGTCAGAATGGAGGCAAAATGGGGAGAAGACCTTAAAACCAATATTTTCTCCTTCTAGATTTTTCTATAGAGCAAAGGCTCCAAAGAAGACACTACTGGGACTGAGGAGTAGGTGGGAGATGCCGTCTGTGTGAGTGGAGAGCTGGTCTCCCTGGGTGAGCAGGAACACAGCCCCCTGGTACACCGAGCGCACCCATGGGCCCTGTGGCCCTGGGCACACAGATTTCTGAGCGCTGAGGAGCGGCACATGGAAGGGGTACTGAGAGGAGAAGAGCTGGACCTCATGGGCTAGGTAGAGAGGGGTAGGGGTGGCCTTGGGGAAGCAGCCTTCCCCAGAGAAGACCACCTGGGAGTAGACAAAGTAGAGGCCACTGGTGGGGACAAGGAGGGAATTGTTGCTCAAAGAGAAGCCATGGCGGAGGAAGGCACGATCTGTGTTTGCTCTCCAGCGCAGCAAGTTCTGGGTGCTGGGGTCTCCTAGGAAGAGCCATAGTGGTGGGGGATCAAAGACCTGGGAGTCAGAGGTCTCAATCCCTGAGGAAGCAGGTGCTGGCCTGAGTTCCTGGGGGATGGCTGGGAGGATGGATGGGAGGAGGATGCCTCTGTTTTGGGGGTTGGGGAAGGTGGGGGAAAGGGAGTGGATGCTTGGGTCCTTAAAGGTGGGTAGGTGGAGAGCTAGGGGCTACGGTCTGAAAGGTCAGGTGGATGTTTACCAACAAGATGAGCAGCAGGTTTGAGGGTGCCTTTTGTGAAGTGCTTCTGGGAGTGCAGATGGGCAGTCTGGGCAGCAGAGGGTGAAAAGCCAACACCAGGGAGCCCCTGGGGGAGAACAGAGTGGAAGGGGGCTCTAAGGCCCAAGGTAGGGCTGAGCCACCACAGCAGCCCCATCCCCAGCTGCCTCACCTGGGCCTCAGGCAGCAGGGCCAGCAGCAGCCCCAGAAGGAGTAGGCGGCGGGGGGCGCTGCACACCCTCAGGAGGTAGAGCCGTCCAGACGGTGTCATGGGGAGAACCTGCAGGGAGAGAGACAGTGAGCTGGCGGGGCGCAGGGCGAAGATGGGCTTCTGCCTCCTGCCGATGGAGACAGCCACCCTGAGAGACAGGGCGGCAGACAGAGAAGAGGACGAGGTGCAGTCAGGGAAACCCCGAGGTGAGCAGGGGAACCAGAAAGAGAAAGAGAGACCCGGATCGCGGCAGAAACAGAGATGTGTGACCGAGGCAGAGAGACTGGCAGGGAGAGGCAGAGAGGGGAACAAACCAAAAGTGAACCCACCGAGGCCCGGGCCCAGGCAGGAGGCACAGGAGCGGCGGGTGCGGGCGCGCGCAGAGGGGCACAACGCCTGGGGAAGGAGTCCACCGCCCGCGCAGCCTAAGGAGATGGGGCGGGAGAGTCTCACCTGCTGTGCGGAGCCCCTGTGCCCGGACGCCTGGGTCCCTTTATAGAGGAAGCGGCGGTGGCAGCGTAGCAGGCGGCGGGCGGGTTCTAGGCCGGGGCTGGGGCCTGGGGAAGCCCCCAGGGCTTAGAAGATGCTGCTGTTTCAGCCGAAGGCAGGAAAGGCAGAGGCCTAGGAGCAAACCGCAGGCTGGGGGCTCAGTCGACTGATTTCTGGGAAAGGGAGTGGGGTCAGGGGAACTGTGGGCTGGGAGGGCCAGGGAAGCAAGGTCAGGTTCAGGAGTTACAGAGAAGGGACAGTCAATTCGGGGAGGAGAAGGGGGAGCAGCTGGGGTGTGGGCTGGAGGCCCGGTTCCCTGAAGAGCGATTATATATAACACCTCTGCACCCTTGGCTGATTACAGGCTTCTCTCTGTGCCCATTTCCTCCTCTTGTACCCTCGTCCTTGTCCCAGACCGCTCAAGTCACACCTGTCCCAGTATGTGTACTTTCCAGGCCATCTGGCAGGTTTCAGATCAAGCAGTTCCTTTATATATGCCTTTCCTGAGATATCCCAGTCCATGCCTGTTGTCCTGGTGCAAATATTAATGGAGCCCCCTTTCGTTCTCAGAAATGTCCTGGTTTGGAAGATAAATGCTATGGTCCCCTACTAAGGGACGATGCCATGCACTCATGTATGATGAGGCTTTAGCTCCCTCCTGAAGAATGCCCTCTACCTCATCTCAACCTTAGGTGGCCTCCACAGATCAGATTTATGTAACCCCACACAAATACACACTCTGGAGCCAAGCAATGTGGCAACTTCCAAAGTTCTCTACAGGAGAGACTTCAGAATTCCACACAGGAGGAACATAAGGGTGGTGACTTAGGTTGGGGTGGGGACAACTAAGGGACTTGCCTTGAAGCTGTATTTGCAGAGCCAATACCCTGTTTTTAAATCGTTGTTTCCTCCTTTTAACTTGAGTAGAGTGAGGGGCACATCACTTAAGTTTACAGACTGATGAATTTTTCCATCTGCTATAAGCCATGTAGCCACCACCCAGTTCAGCATATTTTCAGGTCCCCAGAAGGTTCTCTTGTGCCCCCCTACCAGTTGATACCCTCCAAAGATAACCAACCACTCTCTGATTTCTATCAGTACAGATTAATTCTTCTTACTTTTGAACTTCATGTAAGTGAAATCACACAGAATGTACTCATTTGAATTTGGCTTCTTTCATTCAACATTATGCTTGTGAGATTCATCCATGTGGGTGCAGGTTATCAGCAGTTTTTTCTTTGCTGTCGTTGCTTTTTTTTTTCTCATTTCAATGTAATATTCTATTGTGTGAAAAATACTCTTATTTATTTACCCATATTTTGCCCATTCTTCTGTTGATGGACTTTTGGTTTGTTTCTCTTTTTTGGCTAGTATGAAAGATGCTGATGTAAACATTCTTATACACGAGCCAGTTTTCAATGTTTGTAAGTAAAAAAAGCAAGATGATTTAATCCATATTTCATAAGATTGGGAAACTACCAATTGGCTACTTCAGATATCATCATTACTCTTAATGATATTTTATGCTTTCATTGGAGGGTTTTAGAGGGGCTGGTGCTGAGGATGGTGGTGATGGAGGCTAAAGCCCTCCTCTGCTGCACTGGGCGCACTGCTGCTCTCCTCTGGCACAAAGTTCCTCAGTGGTCTTGGTGTCCTGGGGCACATAAGTAGCACATAACATTCAGGATGTGCATGAGCTATTTCTCCTGTTTTCCTCTCCCTCCTGAGGCCCTGCAACTTTGCCTTTGCCTTACTAGTCTTATCTAAGTATTTCTTTTCATTCTCATTCTCTTTAGCTTTCTCTCTGTCCACAGACTTGTATTGAGCACTTTGTACAAGACACTGCTACAGATGTGAAAGACAGTCCCTTGCCCTTTGGGGATACAGACACAAAAAACCAGTGTGAGAGATGGGAAAGTTATCAGATAATTACAATATAGTGTGATAAGTTCTGTGACAGCAGGCCTGTGGCAGCCCACAGAAAAGCCATCAAACTTGGCCTGGGGAAGAGGTGATTCAGGCATTATTCTGACAAGACAAGGAAGATGGTGAGGAGCATTCCAGGTCTGGGGAACAGCAAAGACTGGAGATAAAAAAGGGTATGAAGTGTGCTGAGATGTGCAATTGGGTACAAATAGAAGGAGCAGAGATGAGGCTTGGGAGGTATGATGAGAACACATTCTGAAGGGTTTACTACCAAGAGAAGGAGTTTGCATTTCATTGTAGTTACCATGGGAAGGCACCAACATTTTTAAGTGAGAGAGGGACACATGCAAATTAGCATATTAGAAAAAATGAGTCTGGAAGCTGCATGAGGTGTGGCAGCTGGGGGGCTGAAGGGAAAACCGGAAGTGTGAGACCAGTTAGGAGAATTGTGCAAGAAACCAGCAAGGAGGTGACAGGAGCCAGCATTTCGGTCAAGGCAACAGCAGGAGAATGGAGAGGAGGAGAGAGTTTCTAGGCAAAATCTACAGGTCTTGGTGGCTGATCAGACATGATGGAGAAAGAAGAGTAAGCCACAGAGCCTATTCTAAATACCTTGGTCTGTATCTTGGCTTCTCCTTCTTTTGACCTACTGCTTTGTGCCACTGCTGGCTTCCCTCTTGGTCCCTGCTCCTTTCTTTTCCTCTGTGTCCCTCTTTCTCTGTGGTCCTTTTTCCTTCTATTGTCTCTTTCTGCCTCTCTAATGGTAGGAGCTAGTCAACAGAGGGACTTCAGTGATGTTAATATATAAAACAGTGTGGCAGTTAGCAGTGAGAAACAAAAATAAAGGGAGAAATTTGGGTCAGAAAGGAAGACTGGGGCATTGAGGAACAAAAAGGGGAAGGTGAGACGGAGTGACAGGGAGACATGAGAGACAGAGAGGAAGGAAGGGCACAAAGGAAGGGCAAGCTGAGGCTCCTTGTCACAGGCTTTTGTGATGTGCTGAAGGACAGACAATCTTGGTTTCAATCTCAGTTTCAGAGGTTGTGTGAAATTTGGTTTCTTTCTTGGGGAGGCCAGCAGTTGGTTTGGGGCTTTCCCTGGGTAGGAGGGGTGATGACTGGAGTCTTATGCTCCAAACTCAGGGAAACACAGTCTCCACAGTGGTCTCTGTGGAGAAACTAGTGAAATCTCTGAGACCTCCAGTTGAGGCTGAAATGATATTAGCCTCAAACCTGAATTAAGCCTCAAAATCTAAATTGGGATTTAATACCAACTTTGACCTTCACCCAATTTAACCTCAACCCAAATCACAACTCAACCTAACCTCAAATCCCAATAAATGAACCTCAAAACTTACTCTCTAAACTAACACAACCCTGTTTCTAGAGCTCATCTTGAAAGTGATCATCCCTGTTCCTAACCCTCCAGTTAAACCTGACTCTAAACATAAGTCCAGTATGAGCTACAAATCTAAAGTCTAGTTTCCTTCTGCTTTACCCCATTATTTGCCCATCCCTCCATTTAATAAATCCATACTGAGTACCTACTGTGTGCCTGCTAGGGCACTGTTCTAGGCAGTAGAGATATAGTGGCAAACAAGTCAGACAAGGTAATAGCACCCATGGAGTGCACGTTCCATTAAGGAGAAATCAGTAAGTGTTGCTATGAGAAAATAAGACAGGGCATGTGATAAGAGAGGCAGGGAACTACTTTAGATGCAGCGGTCAGGAAAGACTCTCTGAGTAAGTAGCATTGAAGCTGAGAACCAAATGGTAAGACTGACTGGGTGATGTGTTAAGGGATAAGCATTCCAAGCAAAGGGAATAGCTACTACAAAGGCTGGAAACAAGCCAGGGGAATAGAGAAACAGAAAGGAGGCCATTGTGGCTGGAGTAGGGGGAGAGAGTGGGAGAAGGGTGGGAGATGAGAGAGAGAGAGGGCAAGGGCCAGATCGCTCAGGGCCATGCTAGGAGGGGTAAAGCATCTGGATTTTATTCAACCATGGGAAGCCTTTGGATGGTGGTGTTTGCACATGCATGTGTGTGTGAGAGTGTGTGAGGAGAGAGAGAGAGAGAGAGAGAGAGGGAGGGGAGAGGAGGGATGGGTGAGGCACAGGTGATTGGATTTATGTCTTTAGAAGATCACTGTGGCTCCTGTGTTTAGACTGTATTACAGGAGGTGCTATTGAAAGTAGGGACACCAGTTAGGAAACAACTGCAGTAATCCTGGAAAAATGGTAGCAGCCATGAAAAATGGACAGAAGTAGACAAATTTGGGATGTATTTCAGGGGCAGAATCGACAGGAACAGACGATGGATTAGATGGATGGGGGTGTGGTGGGAGATGGGGAGACTGAGAGAAGCAGGATTCTGATGGGGATGAGAACCAAAAATTTGATTTAGGATTTGGTAAGTTTAAATCTATTGGACAGACATCCAAGTGGAGATGTCACTTGGCAGTTGGATATATGAGTGGATTTCAGAGGCAAGATCATTAGTAGAGAGACATTAGAGTTGCAAGCAAGAAGATGGCATTTAAAGCCATGCAACTGGAAAAGATACCTTATCTTGTGCATCTGCCTATGACCCCTTCAAGATATTCATGTTTTCCTTCATGTTATGCATCTTCCATTCTAAAATCCAGAAGCAAAACCCTCCAGAATGCCTTCTTCTGAACTCTCACTGGGCTTTGACATCCCTGGATTAGACCCTTGCCCTATAAGGACACTTCAGCCAATCCATTTCACACTATTCTATGGAACTCCTCATATTTAAATCCTCTGTTCCATTTTTGAAAGAATCTTCCTCTGTCACTATGAAACCTTGATTTCCCCTAATAAGTCTCCTCCCTCTTTGGTGAAGGCTGCTCTTTCTTCCATCCCCATCACTAGGGCCAGGGCACAGAGGAGAGGCCACTATTTTCCTCCCCACCTCCCGCTGGTAACCTCCTCTTGTCTTGAAGCCCATGCCTTTTGCATTTTCCGTTCTCTTCTGTCTGCCAGGCAGTCTTCTCCATCTCGATCTCTATCATGCTCTTAACTGGTTTATCTAGCTCAGTTTTCCTCCATATCTTATCTACTACCAACTTTAGAGACTTCAAAACCACACAGATAAGATGAATCTTATACTCTAGCCTCTCAGTGCTTCAACTTTCTCAACTACAACAGCTTTATAGCCTTTTTCTCTGCTCCACTTCAGCCCCCCATGATCAAGGTTGTACTTCGAATCTTAGCATCACTTAGAAAGGCTGTACCTTCAAGATGTTGAACTCTGAATTTTCCCTCATCATGACCACACATTTTTTACATCTCCTGATGTCTCCCTCCCATTCCAATCAATACTCCATTCTCACCAAGTCTTTTAACTCCTTCTTTTCTTGTCTTCCTTGTCTATTTTGTCTAACTCGTGCTCAAAAATTTCAACCACTTTCACTAGTACTTTAGAATCACTTACCAGCCTGATGTTCTACCAAGACAATCTTGAAAAAGTTGATTTTGGTAAACTCCATGGTTTCATTTGGGGGGCTTTTTTCTAGGCTGCCAAGCAATGGAGGGTAGCCATGTCACAGGAGGCCTACTACTAACCTCAGCCATCTACTTCAGAGCCCTGTGTTCCTTAATCATTCTGCGTTGATTCTGTTGCATTCCTGCAGGTGCTATTCTAAATCTCCACACTCCTTTTGCCCTCCATGTTTCCTCTTCACACGCAGTTGGTGATGCTGCCATCTATCTTACTTCGCCTAAGTCCCTCCAAGGTGTATCTCTTTACTTCACACAGAGGACTTTCTCCCATCCACGGTTGTTCCTTATTACTCTGTATCCCACTTCCTCCACCTTTACTACATTCTTTCCCCTTTCTTAGGTTTTCAGTATCTCTCTTTACGTGCCTCTCCTTCATTCTACAAATACATTCCATTTTATTTATTGAAAATAGGAAATCTTTCCTTGGACTCTCATTCTCACTTACATGCCCATTCCATCTCTCACCTTCCTTTTCTGTGTGGTGTCTCAAGACTAGCCCCGTTTACCACTTTTTTGGGAACTGGTAAAATTTTTCTCAGTTGTATAATTTGTGGGATCAACTAGAGATGATTCTTAGTTCTATCTTCTGTATTCACTATTCTATGACTTTGTAACCACCACCTCCTTTTTCTCACCTCCCACTCATTCCTCAACTTATTGATTTCTGTCTCTCTGCTAAGTGGAAACTGTTTTCTCAAAATTTGTAATCGTCTAGTTCCTGAACCCAAAGGATCTTTTCAACCTT